ATCCTTTAAACTGTAAAGACAAATTAGTGTCATTTTATTGCTGATGTTTCTGTTTCTACTGTCTCTTCGTGTTGATCACATGAGCACTGTAGAAAGTTCATATTTCACAGATGGTCCTTGACCGTAGCTCCTGTCAGACCTGGACCAGCTCAGAGAAATCATGAAGATCACAGGAACCCCGGCTGCAGACTTCGTTGTGAAGCTGCAGAGCCAAGACGTGAGACACGTTAAAGTTACACTCGATGCTTCTGAGCTTGAATCTGTCTCTGGCTGAGTTGAGCAGAGCTGAACGCTGGTTGCAAAATGTTTGTACCTTGTAGTTTGTTTGCTTTGACCTCAACGAGAACAGCAGCTGTGGGAAGTTTGTGTCAGAAAATACACAGAAATCAAACAGTAGCCTATATGTACTTTTTTAACTCTGATGTCACTGACTGAATTCAAGCTGAATTCAGCTGCTGTTGTCCATCACTGAAGAAACTCGTTTTAATTCCACCTTTTTATATCTACATGTTTAGACCTAAAGCAGTGATCTGTCCGATTTTTTTTTTTTATAGAAAAACGCTTAAGACGGACTCATTCTCTTAGTCCTTTAAATGTTTGTTTGAAATGTATGGGGCTGTTGTCTCCCCCTCAATAATCATCATTAAAAGTGATCCAGACTATTTGACCTCAACCTCCTGAGTTTCGTTCCTGTAAAGAGAAGAGATAGAAACCTGTAAACATTTAGATTATGTGAATACCAACTGTCAAATACACAAGATAAGAAAAGGGGAAAATAAATATTGCTCAAATATGCTCAAATAATTCCCTTAACACACCATCTCCTGTCACCTTTCTCTCTCAACAGGCCAAAAACTACATCAGAAGTCTGCCAAAAGTGCCAAAAAAAGATTTGCACACTGTTTTCTCCAAAGTCAGCTCGAGTGGTACGTGAATCTCTCTCTGTTCTCCACCCGTTTTGTCCACCTGTTGGTTCTGCTGGGTTCTGTGGTGCTGACTATGACCTGTCGATCTGCGCTGCAGCCGTGTGCGTCCTGGAAAAGATGCTGCTCCTGGACCCTGAGCGGAGGGTGAGTGCCTCCGAGGCGCTGGACCTGCCTTTCTTCAGCGAGTTCAGAGACACAGAGGAGGAGACTGAGGCGCTGCCCTATGATCAGACCATGGACAACACGGACCTGCCGCTGGACCAGTGGAAACGTAAGAGGGAGGGGAGAGGATGACTTGGGTTCAAAGCTACATTCATCAATATTTCTCTCTTATTAAAGAGTCAAAACACATTCTCTATGTAACTAGTAGGCTGCCTCTTAAGATAATTCTACATTTTAGCTCAACTCTACACTCTCACTTGCATCTTTCAGGAGGGGGGAGTATCAAAGGATCAGTCTGTTGCCTGCATTTTAATGAGGAGTTAGTTTAATATATGCATTTCACAAATAACTAAATACTTAATATTTGTAAGATCAATTTATCTTAATCAGGACTTTAAAAAAGGATTTAGCAAAAAATTTGATCTATTCTGAAGAAAGAACCACAGATGTGGAGGAAGAAATGTGGTTTGCCATGAAATCAAGGCCACAATATATATATGTGTTGTACTCACATATTGTTATACTGGCTAACAGCCGAAAATAAATATGAATTCATGCAGGTTTAAGGTTTTATTCTCCTTAAAATAACAGTTGGTTTTGACAATTTGTAGGCCAGTTCAATTCAAAAGGACGGCAGCGAGCAGAGTTGTTGCAGAACCTGATGTCTGCCAGAGGAGGGCGCTAATGGACTTAGATTTTATTTGCAGGACAAAGAAAAGATAAGAAGTGAATGTGTTGATGTAAAACACCTGATGCATCATCTTTCCCTTTGTGTTTGTGCAGGTCACACTTTCACCGAGATACTGACCTTTAAGCCGCCCAGGGACTCGAAGGAGACGTCACTTTAAGAGCACACACACACA